TGTGTGTGTGTGTGTGTGTGTGTGTGTGTGTGTGTGTGTGTGTGTGTGTGTGTGTGTGCTTGGGCTGTGCAGCCGAGGTAATTGCTTTGAGTCAGTCAGGGTCTATTTTTGGGTCTGATGGGGAGAGAGTTTGTCGTGTGTATTGTCTTATGCTGCAGTGAAACCTCGCAAAGGGGATGCCATTCTGTTCTTCAACCTCCATCCTGACGCTACACCAGATCCTTCTAGCTTGCACACCGGGTGCCCAGTTATCCGGGGTGAAAAATGGTCAGCGACCAAGTGGCTGCACGTTGGTAATTTCGATCAACCCAGCTTCAAGACAAGTGGCGGGTCTTCTTGCTACGATGCAAGTGACCATTGTGTAGAGTGGGCAGCTGCAGGCGAGTGCGAGAGGAACCCAGAATTTATGTTGGGCGCTGGAAATTTCCCCGGAAAATGTCGCAAAAGTTGCAAGGCTTGCACCCCAACTACCCAGTTTTCAAAATAACCCCTTACCCTCTATGTAGATCCATGTATCGCTCTCTTTCCCCCACACTTCCCTCCTCCTCCCAACTTTTCTCAAAAAAAATTCAAGTCCGTGAACGGCGTGAAGTGGTGGACGACCGAAATGTGCCCTGAAATGGAGAATGCATCTCCTGCTAGAACACGGACAGATGCACTTGGAATAGTTTTTGTCTTTTCCAAATTTGGTGAGTGGTCTGACAAGGCCCTAGGTAGACCAAACGCCGGAAGAACGCACCCTGGGTTAAGGAGTGCTGTTGTTTCTGACGCACTGCCACGGTTGATAGCGTCTGTAGTACAGACACTGCGACAAAAATATATTTTTCGAATATGTTTTTTGAATATATATTTTCGGATATATTTTTCGGATAATGCCAGTCGTAATGTCGCTACAACTTTGTCCATATTCACTCTACGACTTTTTCGAACAAAATCTCCCCATATTACATCTAGCAATGTCATAGTGTCACTGCTCTCTCTCTCTCTCTCTCTCTCTCTCTCTCTCTCTCTCTCTCTCTCTCTCTCTCTCTCTCTTGATTGATTGATTGATTGATCGAGTCTCATCGTAATTGTGGTCATGCGCTGCAGGGAAGTCACAGGAGAGTGTTTGGTTTATTATGTTGGGCCATGTTAAACTGACTCAGACTAGTAATTGATAGAATGAATCTGGACGTAAGTTGTTTCAGATACATCCAAGAAAAGTCAGGTATGTCATGCCCTTCATTATTCAAGAAGTTTTAAAGAGAGAGCTAGGCCCAAAGATCGGGCAGAAAGAGGCTCCTTGGAACAATTCTATATCATATGAATAATTTATTAACGTATCTATTATCTACAGGATCAACCCCCAAAAGAAGTCTTTTGGGGGTTAATCCTCTAGATAATAGTTACTCACTAACAAGTAGTAACAACTTGTTTTTTTTTTTCTTTTCCTTTTTTGGAAATAGTAACAACGCTGGGGTTCTCAGAAATACAAAAAAAAAAAAAAAAAAAAAAAAAAAAAAAAGCAAAAAAAGGAACCATGTTGGATCAGACTCTGGACCGTGTTCAACGTATGGTGGATGGGTGACGAAGGTGGAGGAGGAAGAAGGCGCACGGTGCTTGGCTATTGTGGATGGGTGATGGAGGTGGAGGAAGAAGGTGCAAGGTGCTTAGCTATGGTGGACGGGTGAGTGAAGAGACACGGCGGTAGGTGGAGGTAGGTAGGTGACAGCTATGGTGGATGTAGGTAGGTGACAGCTATGGTGGGTGTAGGTAGGTGATAGCTATCGTGGGTGTAGGTAGGTGAAAGAGCTGTGGGAAGTTGGTGGGGTGGGGTAGAGTGGCTATGGAAGGTGGGAGGTAGGTGGGGAGATATGGTGGTAGTTGGAGGTAGGTAAGTAGAGCTATGCCGAGGATAGGTACGTGAAACAGTCGTAGGAAGTTGATGGCGGAGTGCTAGAAGGGGAGGGTGTCCGGCCTATCACCATTCCCTCGGTTTGACGAGGTGACCGGGCTACAGCTACTTGCAGAAATTGAAGAGGTCACCAAGCTACAGCCACTTGCAGAAAACTGACAAAGTCATCAAGCTGCAACTACTTGCAAAACTCGACAAATTCACGAAGCTACAGCTACTCGCAAAAATCGACGAAGTCACCAAGCTACAGTTGTTTGCAGAAAAGCACAAGCCTGATCAAAGCAGGCAGCAATCTTTATTATTTACCGAAAGAAGAAACAACAGCGATATGTACATTACATAGGCAGTGAAAAAGCACAGCAGATTATCCTAGCTTTCGAGTGGGGGAAAACAGCGAAATGCAGCACAAATTGCTAATGGAAAAACACAACAAACTGCCCTAGCTTTCAAGTGGGGAAAACCGTGAAGTCCAGCACAAACTACTAGTGTAGAGAGGGTCCCCTCTGCGGGACCGATGCGCTCGACACCGGGGTAATGGCACTTGGGGGGGTGGGGGTGGGGGGGGGGGCAAGCCGCTCTCACTGTGGAAGTTCACAGTTGAAGACTAGTACAGAAACACACACAGGACGGTAGACACCACGCACATAATACAACGCCGGTAACAACGCGACTCCCTACTGGCCGACCGCGACATTCAACAGTCAGCTTGACCTGCTATGCCCACCTAATGCCCACATCCCAAAGGGCGCTACAATTGCAGATCCTGTGTTGGTGCCTGCCAACACCCGGTTGGGTGGTATCCCACTCACAACTAGGACAGAAAAAAGTTGTTATCGCCCATCTGTTCATACCATGGCAAATCGACCTCGAAGCAAATCATAGATCTTGAACGCAAACTCATCTTCTGCCCGATAGTAATACAGATTTCAATTTGGGAGTGTTGGAGTGGCCCATGGCACCACCTCACAGGTCAGGCCTTCCCATGAGATCCAACAGTAATTTGTTGGGACAGGGGTCCAAAATCACATGAATATGGACACCGTCTTCGGTGAACCTTTTTACATTCACTAGGCTGGAAGTTCTCATGACGACGTGGCGTGCTCGCTGCTCCCGAGAGAGGAAAGAGCACGTCTTCGGTTATCAGCAAGCCAGACTGCACATCATAAATATAATTCAAGCCAACATTCATAAAGCCTGGTCCCAGCTAAAAGACTCTCTATCTCAAACAATGAAACAACTCCGATGAACAGAGCAGATAACTCTCTTTGAGCAGCTGTGGTTAGACCTGGATAGGAAACTCGAGGAACTGGATGCTTCACAATGCCTGCTGTGGAAGCCTTGGTGGCAGAACAAGGGCCAGTGGCAGTGGAGACTGCTCCCGGTCACCCACTGCCCAGTGCCGGGCCAACCACTATTACCCTCCCTCAGGCCATACAGACCCTCCGACCACACTTGGACAACAACAGGGAACCGCCTATCCTGGCTTTTTTACCACCTCCCATTGTAGTCACCCCCCCACAGTTCCCCCCAGC